TATCATGCCCGGTCCGGAACCCGTTATCGAACGCTTCCCTGGCTTCCATAAAACGATTCGAACGCGTTTCGCCCTACCCGCTTGTGCCCCTTTCGAAAATTCGAATACAGTGGAATTGATGTTGTTGCATTTTAGGGTTGTGGCACCAACTTTTGGCTCATCTTGCATTGAAATGCGTGTTTTCTTGGGTGGGTATGATATAAATAAAATACAACACGGTGTATTCCGCATCGCCCTCGGTCCCGGCCCTCCCGCGAGTCCTCCGGCCTGCGGCCGTCGTGCGATCCGACCCGCGGTCGGGCCAATACCTCGGGCGATACGGAATACCCCGTGTTGTATTCTATATATATAACACATTTTTATCATTATATAATTCTATATAATCTTTCTGACCATTATATAGAATTCTATATAAGTCTTGCATCCATTATATATAATTCTATATAACACCTGTCTCTTATATAGAATTCTATGTAAATCTTGTGGCTAATATTGCATAGAATCATAAACTGTCTGACCATTATATGCTATCTTACATTTTTATGGCACTAAATAATAAATAAATATTATCCAGAAACTACAGAAATTTTAGTGGTCCAAAGAAAGTAATGCCATGGTTATTTAACTCATACTATATACACCAGGCCTATTTACGATAGTTTGGAAAAGTGCTTGGAAGCTTGAAAAATTAGAAAATATGGTTACCGTTGATGCATGAACCTGTCCACATATTGTCATCATATAATTCAACTTGCAACATTTAACTTGATGCTTCTTGTCTCTGATTTAGATATAGTTATAAAAGACCAGCTTCAATAGCTTATGCTTGTAAATAATAATCATTGTACTAATTACAATCAAGAGACACAAATGTTATTTAACATGTCAAATAATTATGTAGTTTAATGTCCACATTCACCTCCCATTGTGCACATAAATGTACACAATACATTTTTAATATACAAATAGAATAAACAAATTGAGTTTGATATATTTATACATTTCATCATACCATTTTCCTCAAGCAAGCAATGTTTTCAATGATAGTCAAAGCTTAAGTCAGTTTGATTACATTGGAATTGCTACTCTGAGCATACATAGCATTTCAAATTCTAAATCTCTTAAATCTGCTACTGTACAATAATCATATATGCATAATGCTTATATTTGGAGCTTTTTTTTTACAAAATTTCTAGTATTACAACTTAATACAAGCCTGACCTTAAATTTAGCACAGGACTTCTCTTACATTCAGTTTCTCACAGTACAGATACCAATCCATCAATTCAGCAAGCAATGTCATTTCTGAGTATCAATTCAATAAGTTTGAATGCTCTCAGAGTTCCAGGAAGAATAAGATCATGTTAATGCTACGTGAAGACATACTGTTACATTACATACTCGTTGACTACATGTACCTTGTATGCTTGTTTTGTTCATGGCTGCTTTCTTTTTTTTGCACCATTTTTGTTCATGGTTTGATTCCTTTTTTTTTTGGACCAGATTTGTTTACAGTTTGCTTCCCTTTCTTCAAACCAGTTTTGTTTGTGGTCTGTTTTCCTTTTTTTGGACCTGATTTGTTCACAGTTGTCTTTGCTTTTTTGGCACCTGGCTTTGCTTTCTTCGACTTGATCTTAATGTTGATCGGATCCATGTTTTTTTTTACTGTACCTTTCCAGCAATGCCCTTGTTTTTTCAGTTAAAACAGTTTCTTTTTTTACTGGTGCCTCATATTCTTTCACAGAACACAATTCCCAGGAAGGTCTCCCTGGATCAGCCATTTCACTTTCTAAGAAGGCATGCCACCAGGGCAGAAAACTGTCGTTAACCTTGGGGGTCTCAGCCCAAAGGTTCAAGTTTTTCCTCATAGACTGTATGGTGCTGATATGTTTATTTATGGCACCGTCTTCGAAGTCAACCTTCCACTCTTGAACTGTGGATAGTTCTGGAAATGTTGGGTTAACGTTTCAACAGGAATTTCTACTTCATCCTCACTTTCTGGCCACAATCTTGCTGTTAGCTGCACCTTTCCACCTTCAAGTTTGGCTGTGTATTGGTGGGGCCTTGAATGGCCAGAAATTCCAGAGATGTGTCGGTCAATGTCTTCCCGAAAGTCCCACATGCTATTCATGACACTGTGGAAAATAAGTCATCATCACATCATGAAGGTCAATAAAAGTGCTGGTTACCCTCAGTATAAAAGTCAAATGACATGAAGTTATTGGTGGCACCACCATTTCTTAAAAATTTCCATCAATTCTTAAATCAATGATTGAAGTATTAGTGCATAAGGAATATATAAGCAGGTACATGGTAAACTTATATTTCCCATAGTAATAAGACATACATTGCATATCTTGCTATTCTTTGCTTGAAATTTTACAGAACTTTTCAAACCTGCACTGTGGTGTAGGCTTGTAAGCGGTCTGGGATGGTTGGTGCATCATGAAGCAGCAGGTGTGTGGATACTCTGCTGAACATCTGGTCCACGTCTTCATGTGTGTGGCCAGGCATTAGGTACCCCAACTTCACCTGTAGTAAAGAACAAAGTGTCATGATGAATTTGTTCAAATAATTTCAACACCAAGATACATGTACAACATATAGGTGTGGCATGTCTTTGAGAAAACAAAGCCACTGACATTTTTGTTTTTTTGTCGGAGTAGAGTCACTGTAAATACATTTGTCATGTGCAATTTAAGTTATACATGTACTACTGTAGGAAAATGAGTATGACTTTCCTGTTACCTTTCTAAAGATTCCAAGCTTGACAAGCCAGGTAGAGAATGCAATAACATACTTGTTTTTGCATTCTTTTGCTGAATTGTCTAGCTGCAGGTAAAGCGTGTTTGGTAGATGGCCATTGTATTCCTGTGGAAAGGGGTTTAGATATCAGTACCACATGGTCAGTTGATATTGCAAGTCATGATCATAGCTGTTAATTTGTGAATGACCTTACAATAATACTCTGTCCTTGCGCCACACGACCCCACCTATGGGAATTTTGTAGGCTATATCTATTTCAAAATGTCTATTTTACTCAACTATTGGTTTAGGAGCACAGCCAAGGCTGCCCAATCCCCATCCTGTGGCTATTGCAAAGGCCTGTTCACAAAGACAAATTAATTATTAAAGTCATATCAATTTTTTTTGGCATTTGCATTAGATTGTTTAGTAATTGTAACCATCTATTATGTTTCAAGTTGGATTCAGTCCTAGCTGTCTTAAAAGAAAAGTACAAACATGTATAACACAGCTAACACTATTATGTGTATGTATACACAGGTACAAAATTGTAGATACATGTACTATACATGTATTTGTAAAGCCAAAGTAGCCTATGTGACTTACCTTAGCTACCTCCAGTAGACTACGTATCAAAACGTTAACTGTGATATTGGTGTCCATGTGGAACTTTGGCGTCCAAGCATATATGAATGCCTTCTTCTGTCCATGTGCCAAAGCACCAGTCAGGTGAACTTTCATCGGTTCCAGAGCTGCTAGGGACTACATATGGGAACCCAATCAGAACTAGAAAGGCCGACATTTGTTTGGGAGCAAATGCAGCAAATGACGTCACCACACCACATGCACAGTGTGAAAGAATCCACTTGTGGTTAAGCCATAACAATGCTTAACAAACTGTACAATTTCAAATGTGCCAAATATAACAGTCACAGACTCTAATCAATATAATGTTCTTCATCATCATCTACATGTATCTACAAAATTGGTTCAATGCACCACATTACTAATGAATGCATAACATATACAAACTACATGTACATGTAAACATGTAAAACAAACATCGTCAGGCAAAGTTTGATGCATACATGTTCGCAAAAAAAAAATACATCTCCAAATATTTTTAACACATGTGCAAAGATTGTGTGCATTTTATAAAATGATTATCTCCCTCACCTTTGTTTGAGCAGCAAAATGAGGTATCGATGTCTTGTTTTGATCCATGGAATCAATGATGATGGACAGGTAGTTCTTTGGTTCTTTCTTCGCTTTCTTTATGTGTTTATAATACTTTTGCCTGGCTGAGCTGATAAAGAGACAAAGACATTACAGTTTAGGCCATTCCAATAAGATTTGTTGGTCTTCAGGCATTTTTATGTCAAATTTTACCAAGAGGACATCCAAAAAAACAGGGGGCTGGGATAAAGATAATGCCATTCACTACCTAAAATTGTGTGCACCAAAGTACAGAATTCCCCCTATGTTCTGTTTTCCGGTAGATGTTTCAATTCTTTTTTTTAATCTGAGAATCAAGAAAGTAAATTGGTGTGGCCTTATATCATACTAAGCAAATCTAATCTGCATGCATACTGGCAGCATAAGATTCAGAAACATGTTGGAAACATGGTTATTAGAAAGGAAGAGATTTTTTTCCATTTTCTGATCATTTTCCTTACTGTGAAGATGCAAATTGTTTCTATAAGCGTTTCCCAGTAGGTCTCACAGGCTAGGGGGTTAAAGAAACCTGCCCTCAGAAGTGTGATAATGGGACATTGATTGACAGCTGACACATGGCTCACATTATGGTTCCTGTGAGTAGGATTTCAGGTCATTGGTTAAACATTCAGGATAAGTATGTTTTCTCATCATTTTAGAAACATCTTTGAGGGTTTGTCAGCAAAAGTACTTTTAGTACAAACAAGGTCGAGGGTGAGGGCGGGGTCACGGATTACAAATCAAACCAAAATACTAGAGTTCCACGATCTCATACCTTCGCCAAATGATGTTAGCCTTTATGAGTAAGAAATTATAGATTAATCCCCCTGATTGTGCAAATAGGATCCTATATTTGCATCAATTATATCTGTTGATCATATTCTACACCAGAAGACAGCCTTATCTTATCAAAGAATGCCATTATAGCATTTCCTCATAAATTATGCAAATGAGGTCCTTATTTGAATAAGTTATGTTTAATTATGTTCACCTTCACATGACTTTCAAATATCCCAAGTATGACATTCCAGGCAGTTACCACTATGTAAATATAACCATTTCTCATTAATTATGCAAATTAAGTCTTCATTTGCATAATCGATATCTGCCTGTATTTCTGCCGTTCTTAATTACATATGTCACAAGCTTGAATAGTCCTATCAGGGAATGCAGATGATTTATAGAATTTCCTCATTAATTATGCAAATTACATTAATATATGCATAATTATAATATTATTATGTTAAGCATCACCTCAGCTACCTACATGCCAAAAATTACGACGATCCATCAATCGGTTCTAGAGTTATCCGCCTTTAAATATTTTTCAACTAACGCCCCTGCAGTTTCAGAGCAAGCCGCTAGGGAGGCCAAACTCACATCACTTCTTCCCCAGCACAAGAGCTACCTACCATCCAAATTTCGTCACCCTAGCATGTCTAGATCACGAGATATCAAAACCGGAAGTTCAGCTGCAGTACCATAACAAGCCGCTAGGGGGCCCAAAATCTAATCAGTTCCACGTCTCATGAAGACCTATCCACCTACCAAATATCAAGACAATCCATTTTAGCCTTCTTGAGTTATCGTGCTGACACACACACACACACACACACACACACACACACACACACAGACACACGAACGCCTACGAAAACATAACCTTCTTGGCGAAGGTAATGAAAGAAGTCATCATCATGGTTGCATTTTTTTACATTTTGGTGGATCCACCAAGCGGGGTGAAAGTGGAGATATGAGAGGAAGGTCACACTTTTCCTAACACCTGTGTGCAAAATACATAAGAATCACAATCTGCAAGGCGTCAGACAGAAACTGGGGCATATATATGATATGACAAAAAAGCCACAAATTTCCCCACCATTAACTCTACTACTGGGAGAGTACATCTCTGACACACAATGCATTATCTTACAGTGCAAAGCTTGATGATAACTGCTGTTAATAGAAGTGTTTTTGGAGGTAAACCATCAAAGAAGTTAACACACCAAAAAGTTGTATTCAACCATTTCAACCGATGACCTGAAATCCTACTGGAAGCATAATGTGAGCCATGTGTGCTGTTAATCACACCTCTGACTCTGCCCTACATATACTGATAGGATATATATGAAGTCTGCTTTTAAAACTTCAGCAACAATAAAGCCTACAGTCACTGTGGTACTTTTCATCTATAATGAGGTTGTCACTTGTGCCTATATAAGTAAACATTACTATTGACAATTGGTATAAAAATGGTTAGTCTTGGTACTGGATATATACATTGTGTATATGCTACAAATGCACAAAGAGGACTTACTTCTGTAAGCTGAAATGGGCTTGCCTCCTGTCTCTTACTTCTTGTATGTCTTCATCACTTTGGGCACGAGCAAGGAGTGTCTTCAAAGTATCACACTCATCACATTTAGCCATTCTGTTCTTCTGCAGAAATAATTTATTCATCCAATTAGATTATTTAATTCCTTTTTCAAACTTTTCTATGACCTACTTTAACCTCAGACATCTACATGTACCGGTATCTTAAAACAAGCTATGATTGCAGATTGTTTTCCAGGCCAATTTAGTTTTCTCTGACTGTGATAATTACATGCATTATTCCTCAAATTTACAGGAAAAAACATCAAAAGTAATTGAAGGTATCAAAATTTAGAAACAAATCTGTTTAGCAGGCCTAGCCTGCAAAAGAGACATCCCAATGCTACAGGACCAGGTGACAATCATACATGTATATTTTCCCGTGCCATTAATGGCAATATGGTTAGTGTGGTGCATTTAATAATAAACACTCATTGACAAGTACAATGTAGATTTTGACAAGATGTGTTAGAAAATCATAATCTGAATAAATAAAGTAACAAAGAGATAGTTCTAATGTGAACTTACTGCTGGAATTTTGAGCTTGGGAAACTCTTTTTTCCACATCTGTCTAAATCGGGATTCTTCAAGTGTTCTTTCATCCCAGTGGTCAGCCTTGTAAAACCCAAAGATGTCTCGTACTGTTGCACACTGTGGGAGGTGTATGTCTTGACTGTTTGGCAAATGATCACCAAACCTTTTTGAATGGGTTTTCAACCACTCCCTTGCAATCAGATACCTTTTTGAATGATACTTCATTCCCTTTCTTGCATCAGGTACAATCTGTCGTTTGGCTTCATAGATGGTTTTAATTTCGTAGAACCTGAAAAAAAGATTCAGGACGTAGTCTCAAGGGAACAGATACAAGTCAGAGAATGTTTTCTATTATGGTTTTTATCATCGCTCAAAGTCTAGCACCGCTCAAAGTCTAGCACCGTGAAACAAAAAACTTTTCCTGGGGCGTGCAAAAATACTGGCGGCTTGCGGGGGGACACGCTTCCCTCCCGTACCAAGCGCATGGGAAAAAAGGAAAAATCACTGCTAGAAATCTAGAAGAATTTAGAATGAAGCAAATACCCTTTCTGGGGCGTGTGGAGTACTTCCCTCCCGTTCCAAAAGGAGGGGCGAAGTGGATGAGGTGATGACGGGTAGCAAAGGTACGAACTAACAACTCAACAAAACACAAAAGGGGGGGGGGGACCAACCTCGAGGTCGTCCTCGTCGCTGTCCGACTCCGAGCTGGAGTCGGCGTGGCTTCGCCTCGGCTGTTGTTGGCGGGGCCCCTTGGGCCGCGGCCCGTTGTCCGGGGGTGCTGCGGGGCGCTTCTTCTGGGTGTCGGACGGAGTGGGGGCTGGGGGTGCATCTTCTACCAGCGTGACGGCGGCCTGGGCCGCGTCCTTGGCCGCCTGGTCTTGTCGTACGGGCTGGGCGTCCATGGTGCTGTTGGCGGCCAGGATGGTGAAGTGCGCCAATCTGACGATGGATGCCTGCTCCTTGGGCGGGAGGCCCGCCATCTCTAGGGTGGTCTCTGGGTCCTCCCCGGTAAGTCGCTGAAGCTTCTCGCCGATCTCCTCTCTATTCAAGGCGTGGAGAGCCACATCCTTGGTGAAACGGGCTCGTAGTGGTTCGTCGGGAAGGTCTTCCTCACCGCGGACCTTCTTCACTAGGTTAAAGATTTAAACATTGAATTTTGAACTTTTAATCAAACCACTGCAATGATAGATGGGAAAACTGTAACAACTAGGAAGAAAAGGACTTTCCTCAACAGTTGGGGGGCAAAACATGAGCATTTTTCAGTTGATTCAGGATCAGAATCAATTTTTTTTTGCAAATCAGAAAAAAACGAAGAGGCGAATCCGAGAACCAACAAATTAAATTGGTGTGGCCTTACTTCTTACAGGTAGCCCCTCCCTCCCATATTCTACTGACTGCCGTATCTTTGATATTGTGTTCAACTATATTCATCACTCTGGAAGATTTGACCAATCACATTTCTATCTTTTGTAGTTCAATGTCTGAATCTTTATTGATTGTGTATTTATACAACAAAAGGCATCTCACTGTCACTATCATTCGTGTTTGAGTGTAAAGGATACAACAGAATTATGTGTAAATAACTTCTATAGAAGACTGTATTGCAAGTTTACTATGTATACTAGTATATACACAATGTCTATGTATAGACACAATATCTAACCTTCATCGACGTAAATACGTCATACAAAGATGTCAAAATATTATGGAATAAAAGACTTCTCAAGACCACAAATTAACGCTCTTGGTGCGCCAGCCACTTTCATTTATGTTTAAGTTATCTGTTAACATTTAAATTATGTTTTATGACCAGCCGATTCACATAAGCACAACACGTGCTTTTGTATTTAGTGCTGAAAAATCCATGTGAATAAAAAAAAAATAGCAATGCAAATCACTTAAACGCTATTGGTCAATATGCCACCTTGGTAGACTTGCTAATTGTAATTGACAGTCAACACCTGCTTTGTATGAATCGGACGTCATCATTGGCTTTCTGATTAAATCAAAGTCGCTTCGGATGGTAAGCGGACATATTTCACTACTTCGCTTACCATCTCCACCGCCTTATTGAAGTTTTTCCCCGAGGAGTCGACTACGCTGTATCTGTCCAAGGAGGCTCTGAGACAGTTCTAGAAAATAGGTTTCGCAGCATCTCATCCTTCAGAGCATCATAGTCACACGTTGACACTAACTTCCTCAGGCGTTCCACGTACGCTTCGATTCTTTCTCCTTGGGCTTGTTCACATGTATTGAATTTGTATCTCTCATACACGGTATTCTTCAGTGGCTTTAAGTGCTTGTCTAAGGCTTCTATAATCTTATCGGGGTCTTGCCTGGGGTCTGCATCTGGCTGACCATTGTCGGCTTCTATATCTATGTTTCTGAGTATATCCAGGCAATGTCTGCCGATGACGGTCTTCAGTGTGGCTATTGTAGAAGGCTTGGAAGCCATGTTATTTTTTTTAACTCAGCCTTTCACAATATGAATACAGTTTTGAATACTAAGAAGCCATGTTTTTTTTTGGGGGGGGGTGATGTTGTTCTCATTGAAATACATTTTTGGAGCGAGTTTTCAAGATTGGACTTTGATTTTTATTTTGCTTTTCTGTTCATACACAGAGCATATATGTATTTACATTGGAGAAAGGCAAAATGCAAGACCTGTTCCACAAACTATACCAATGAAAATTATCATTGTAATGACCACTATATATATATCTACCTTTTCTTGTTTCATAATGCAATTTCAACACAAAATATATCCGGTAAGCCTGTACATTCATGTTGTTTACACTTTCAGTACACAATTCTTCTGACACGTGTCTATCGTCGTGTCAATCTGGCTCGTACCTCCCGACTGATATAGTCAAACGTGGCCTTTCTCATTCGAAAGTTTTCGACCCAGTCTTTCTCCGAGAAAGTTTGTAGGACATCGCGTCCGTGCTGCGATCCCTGGACTACATCGTTCTCTGTACCCTCCTTGCGCTTAGAGCAGCTTGAATGGCCAGGCACGCAAATAACATGCGGCGGCGACGACGAATTCTTCCAAGGGCCAGCCGTAGCCCGCGTCTCCTTCGTACTCCTCGCAGCCGGTTGCAAGCCACAATCCACAAGAAAAGCACAACTATGTCCTCTTTGTCCACCATGTTTTGCGAAGGATGCCCTTTCACCCCTTTAATAGCCTATGACATTGCCACGACGCCGTCTTGCGTGTTTTCATACCTTGATACCTTGATACCGTCTTCGGGATGAGAGGTAATCCTGTGGTGATCCCGATCTCGACTTCACTCAGTGTTATACTTTATGCTCTCCCAGTATTTGTCTAGGTTCGTCTTGAACTCGTTTACTGACTCTGAGTCAATTACAGCCTGTGGTAGACTGTTCCAATCCCTAACGACCCGGACGCTAAATGACTGTCGTCTAACTCTTCCCTTGGCCAAAGGGACCTCCAGTTTGCAACTGTGCCCTCTTGTTGATCCTTCTGTTCGCTTCTTGAAGAAGGATTCGAGTTGGATTCCCTCCAGCCCTCTTGCTAGTTTGAATACCTGAATCATGTCTCCTCTGCGCCTCCTATACTGTAGGGAGGGAAGGCCTAAGGTCTTCAGTCTCTCCTGGTAGGGTAGATCCCTGAGATTCAGAGGGAGTTTGGTGGCCCTTCTTTGTACCTTCTCTAATTCCTGCTGGTCTAACCGGAAGTGAGGCCCCCATATCACGTTAGCGTACTCAAGGTGAGGGCGAACCAGGGACTTGTATAGTAATGGTATAGTCTTAGAGTCCAGGTTATGAAAGGTTCTTTTGATTATCCCTAGCATCCTGTTTGCCTTCCTTGCTGCCGCTGCAGTGTTTGCGTGAAAGGTTAGTCTGTTGTCCATTAGCACCCCCAAGTCCTTTTCTTCTACTGTTTCCTGGATCTCCTGGGATCCTAGTGTGTACGTAGCCTTGGTGTTCTGCTTCCCTAGATGCAGCACCTTGCACTTGCCAGAGTTGAAAGGCAGCTGCCATTTAGTAGACCAGTTGAGTGCTTCGTCCAGATCTTGTTGTAGGATCTCCCTACCCTCAGCTGTTGCCACTGTGTGGTAGATTTTGCTGTCGTCAGCAAAAATCACGGCGGTCTGTCACTACGGTATTCTTTCCCATTGCTAGGCGCGTTCTAAAAGGTATCGGATTACAAGACGCTATTTGGGCCAAGTTTGGCCTACCAGTAAAACACTTGAAAATAAACAAGAAGGATTTAATGGTAAATTTCGTCAAATTAAAATGAAATTATTGCCTTAACATCCTTTCAATATTAGCTGTTTATGTTAAATTATTGATTTTTCAAAATTTCGCTCCGAAAGACGATTTTTTTTCGGATTTCCGACCACAAGTCATGTCATGTTTTTAGGCAAACATCGTTTTAACCTGGCTACGTATATTACCCCAGATTCCCGATTTTTTATAATTTTCGACGACTAGGAATAAGATAAAGAAATCGTGTTTTAGGGATTTTTAATTTCTGATTTAAGTCTAGTTTTGTTCGAC